TCGGGAGCGGCTGCCAAGGTCTCTGGGGGGGTGCCCAGGGCACAAACATGGGCATCTCGTCCTTGGCCCCACTGGTGACTGTGATACGTGGAGAAACATCCAGCCACCTCGGGGCATGTGGGTCTCCATCCAGAGAGCGCCCAGGCCCCAAGTCAGCAGGGGAAGAGGGAGCCCAGGGCTGGCAGGGGCCACAGGGAGGGAAAGGCTGCAGGGCAGGGGTGAGGGGCGCTGGCTGGGCTGCGGGGCGGGAGTGAGGGGTGTCAGCAGTGCTGGGCTGAGAGGGGCCATGGGGCAGGAGTGAGGGGTGTCAGCAGTGCTGGGCTGAGAGGGGCCATGGGGCGGGAGTGAGGGGTGTCAGCAGTGCTGGGCTGAGAGGGGCTGTGGGGTGGGAGTCAGGGGTGTCAGCAGTGCTGGGCTGTGGGGTGGAAGTGAGGGGTGCCAGCTGGGCTGCAGGGCGGGAGTGAGGGGTGTCAGCAGTGCTGGGCTGAGAGGGGCCGCGGGGCGGGAGTGAGGGGTGTCAGCAGTGCTGGGCTGAGAGGGGCCGCAGGGTGGGAGTGAGGGGTGCCAGCAGTGCTGGGCTGTGGGGTGGAAGTGAGGGGTGCCAGCTGGGCTGTAGGGCGGGAGTGAGGGGTGCCAGCAGTGCTGGGCTGAGAGGGGCTGTGGGGTGGGAGTCAGGGGTGTCAGCAGTGCTGGGCTGTGGGGTGGAAGTGAGGGGTGCCAGCTGGGCTGCAGGGCGGGAGTGAGGGGTGTCAGCAGTGCTGGGCTGAGATGGGCTGCGGGGCAGGAGTGAGGGGTGTCAGCAGTGCTGGGCTGAGAGGGGCCGCGGGGCGGGAGTGAGGGGTGTCAGCAGTGCTGGGCTGAGAGGGGCCATGGGGCGGGAGTGAGGGGTGTCAGCAGTGCTGGGCTGAGAGGGGCCGTGGGGTGGGAGTTCCAAACTGTATGGGGGCAGCTGGTTGTGGGTCCGGGGCCGTCCAAGGCTCTGCCCTCCCAGCTGGGGTGCTGTCTGGGAGGCAGGTGGGTTCCTGGCTGAGCCAGGTGCTC